GAGGTAACCTTAAAACTTATGAATCTACAATTCTAACCCCGTCTTTGGATGAACAAAAGAATAAAGGGATAGCGCTCAAAGCAACCAAGGAAATGGTTGAAGAGGAATCAAGTGATGAAGACAACGAGTTTGACCTCATCATCAAGAAATTCCACAAATTTATGAAGAAAGAGCACGAGCGCAAAGGAAAGAAGCACGACGATTCCCCGAAGTGCTATGGTTGTGGCGAGATTGGCCACATCAAACCGAGATGTCCAAAATCCAAGAACGCCAAGGACAAACATGGGCTCAAGAAGCAACGAGCATACATCTCTTGGGGAGGAGACTCCGGCGATGAGTCAAGCGAGCAAGAGGAAGACGAGGAAACAAATCTTTGTCTCATAGCTCAAGAAGAAGAGAAGTCATCCAACGACAGAAACCAAGAGGTATGTATTTCTTCTACCGATTCTTATTCTCTTGAAGAAATGCAAGAAGCTCTCCAAGAGCTTTATGACGAGTTTGTTAGCGCTTCTAAAACCAACAAAGCTTTAAAGAAACGTTTTTCTAATCTTGAAACTGAGTTTGAAAAACTTCAAAAGGAAAACAAAAAACTAAAAGAGGAAAATAAATTTTATAGTAAAAGAAGCGCCGACAAACCCGAGAGCTCTACAAAACATTGTGACTCTTGCATAGCTTTGAAAGAACAAGTTGCTGAGTTAGAAAACACGGTGAAGAAATTTAATAAACCACATAAAAATCTTAATCTCGTTTTTGTTTCTATGCAATACACTAAACAAGGAATTCCGAAACCCTTTTATCTACTTGGATTTTTATTTCTTTTTCAACTCGTGTTGGCATTTAGTGGATCTCGAGTTGGATTCTTTCTATTTTTATTTTTATTATCTGTTGGATCTGTTTTCCAATCAGTACTTGTACTCGTAAGATCCGTTGGATCCTCCTTAATAGTTTTACTATTTATGCACAGAAATGACTTTTCAAATTGACAAAATAATGCTAGGACACCTAAAAGAGAGAATTTTCAAAAACCAATATTTTCTCAAAATAGGATGAATATGGTTAGGCCCCCTAGCAACTATTATCAACCTAGGCACATGTTCAACCCAAACGTAGTATGCCACTATTGCAATAGGGTAGGACATATAGCTCCCGTGTGTTTCACCAGGCACTTCACCTACAATGAAACACACAACGTATTTGGTGCTAATGAAAAGAAATCCTTTGGAAAAGGATATTTGAATCATAAACAATCTCCACAGGACAATGCACAAAAGAAACCTTATTATTTCTTCTACTTTGACGAAAAGAAGAATGTCCACATTCCGTTACCAGAACCGACACAAATCACACCGAGATATCGGCACTCCGTTTAGGTAGACTAGAACCCGCCAACCACGAGATCATGGGTTGGCCAAGGTAACTCCTAAACGATCATCTAATCGTGTGTGTGTGTGTGTTAGGAAACGAATTTTGGGTGTGTGTGTGGGCAATAAAGGTTAATTTACCCCCAAGGACCCATAGACATACTTTGGGTACCAAAGTGTTGTTTTTTTGCAGGAACGTATCAAAGTGAGGAACTCAGGGGGAACCAGCGATGGATGGTTTATCCCATCGCTGGGAAGGAAGTATTTTCTAACCAGCAGCCCTCTTCCCATCGATGGGAACTTCTTCCCATCGCTGGGTGTTTGACACTTTTTTTTTTAAAAAAATATTTTTTAACGGATTTCCAGTAGCTGTCTTCCCATCGATGGAAGAACCTTACCATCGCTGGGAAGCCTGTTGTAGTTCAAAAATCATAGCCGTTGGGCACCTCATTCAATGCCTAACAGCCATATTTTTAACACCAAGGGCCCAAATTCTCTTTTCCTATAAATATTAACCATCCTTGATCATTTTTAACACACAACTCACATTCCTCTTGCATACTTTAAGCCTCTACTCACTTTCTAAACGCTTCAACAATGACTAGAGGAAAGTCAAGGACCAAAACCGAGGCTTCAAAGAAGAAGG